ACCCCATCTCCTCACTACACCACCTCCCTCCATCTCCGGCACCGGTGCGGCCACTGCTCCGGCGACGGTGCGGCCACTGCTCCGGCGATCGTTCCGGCGATTTCAAAATTTTCAGAAAATTGAAAATCACACCCCCCAACCCATGGAGTGGTCACAATCGGCCACAAACGGTCACAATCGGTTTCAACGAGTCACAATTAATCAGTCACAAACAGTCACAATCGGCCACAAAACGGTCACAATCGGTTACAATGAACTACCGGATAGTCAAATCGCGATCTGGATCAGACCGTTCCGACGCCACTCCGACGACTGTTCCGACAGCCACTCCGGCGATTTCAACTTACCCACCCCATTCCCAACTTTTAAAATTTTTTTAGAATTTCGAGTCACAATAGATCATAATTGGTCACAACGAGTCACAATTAACCAGTCACAAACGATTACAATCGGTCACAATTGGTCACAAACGGTCACAATCGGTCACAATAAACTACCCGGTATTTGTTTACAAATGATCACCACAAACCAGCACCACAATCCACCACCAGTCATCACTACCGTCACCTCAAATAGTGGCCACACGCAGTAGCACCAATACAACCAACCAACAAAAATGACCACCACCATTAGCAGTCAGATATGTAACCATCTCACAATCGCCTTCACCATCTCACCATCACAACAACACCACCTTACGTCGCCACCACTACTTCACAAGCTGAAATAGAAACAAAAACAAAACAACCTCAACACAACACAACCACCATCACCACCACAACATCAAAATCGCCACCAGATTTCTCCCATCCATCAGAGATGACGCCTCTACACAGTGGCTCCGACTAAGCAGAACAAATCAGAATCACCCAAACTCCCTTCCCAAATTTTCTCTTTTGTCGGCGACAAAAATACCCAAACTCCTCCCCATATTTTTCTGCAACAATGGCGAGTGCACCGCCGGACAATGCTGCTGCGAGTTTGCAGCAGTCTCGCTATTGTCGTTCGAAGCCGCTGTGAACGACAGAGTTCATAGCGTTGCGCAAGGAGTCATCACGCAGCGACCTACTAGAGTGATAGAGAGATCGCGCACGACTGTGTTGCAATCGAGGCCTTAAGACCTGAA